AAATTATTGTTAACAATCAACTTTTTAATTACCATAAATGCATGTTCATGTTTATGTTCATGACCAATGATTATCACATGGCTTAGCTTAATAGATATGGATCGGAGTACAAGCATGAGTTTATGACTAATTGACTAATAATGAAATACTATCCACTTTTTGTTAGGGATTAAGGACCTACTCGGCTTAATTTCAATTCAGTTTATTTTCGTTAAACTCAGTTTAGTAAATCAAAATAAGCACTAATTAAGTTATAAAATATTGTATGTATTAATACTCAGAGTTATGTATATGTTTGAAATAGATCAATGTGATTATTATACCCAAAACACCTCAAAATAGGTACATATACGTATACAACAAGTCTTTAATGTAGTAATGTAGATTGGATATATATGTTGGTTAATTTGGGTTATCATCTATCAAGCATGGATTTGGTTGTAGAGTTTACTGAAAAAATGGCCAACTTGATACTTAAATTTAATCGATGGGGTGGATAATTATACACGTATCATATATAATAATTACTTATATAAGGAAATTTTATTATTTTTACCATAGATATACATTTTTTATCAACGAGGGAGGGGGTAGCCGGGTAGTAGGGAAGCTATGAATACTAATATTGAATATGGAGTCATGGATAGACGATTAGACAGGTAGGGAAGCTATGACTACTAATTTTGAAGATAAAAATATATGTTTATCTTTATAATTATATGATAATGTAAAACTTAAACCAACAAAGTTGTTGCATGAGGGTAGAGTAAGGGGTGCACATAGAGAAGGCCATGAAAAAGGAAAGAAGATAATGGTAGGTTTAAATTAGCAAATGAAAGTGCAATGGATGATATTGTAGACAAGACATATGAAAGAGATGTTAGAACAACCTATCAATGAATTTATAATATAAGTGGAGTAATACTTGGGAGGGTATATAATGTAAGCGTAACGCCAGATTCATAGCCTCCCACATGCAGGAATCAGTAAGGCTATGAATGGGTGTCCTTAATTTGTACTTCAGCAAAGGCCAAATTTTGCATGTAGAGTTTTGCAGCTTAAATTGCCCTACCAATGTAAATGAGTAGACCCATTTTACCTAATGTAATGGCCACTAATGCCAAATTAATCCATACATTATTGAATCATATTAATTGAGTTTGTTTGTATAATTGAAATAAATGAAATTATTGGCAAGAAGAAATGATTTTGGTAGCCAGATTGTTTTCATTAAAATGTGGGAAATTGGCCAATGTCGAATGTGATCGATCTATGTCGCCGAATAGGTCAAACACAATCGATCATCAATCGAGTGGTTCTGTTCTCCTCAAAGAATTCAAATAACCCTCTTTATAAATCCAATGTCCGTAATTTGCAATACTTACTCTAATCTAAGCAATCTTTCTTCCCAACGCGTCCTTGACCACAAGCATGTAAAATTACTATTGTAAGATAATTATTGCTCGATTTTTGTAAAAGGTAATATGAGGATCCTAACTAAAATTCAACTCTCATGACATTTTAATTTAAATTTTATGAAAAAAGGCACTTCAACAAAAGGAAAAAAAGTTCCATGATTCCCTCATTTCAAGCATCCGTAATAAAGATTAATAAAGATTCAACATTTGTGTCATATTTTAAGATAAGTTCTCAACCAAGTGAACCAACTACACTAATGACTTGTTCTCTTCAGCTTAAGTTCACTTCAATTTTTAATTTTCTTCTTTCATAAGCAATTCAATTCAGTCCAGTAGATCAGAACGGGTCTTAATTCTTGATCAGCGAATTGATCAATACATTGGAGTATTTATTATGGTGGAACATAGGGTACTAACTACTAAGGTAGTGGAGTGATGCTGATGCAAAAGAATTGTGCACAGCGTAGTAATTGCAACCATTATTACTCGGTAAAAACCTGAGCATTTATGCACATCCAAGCACTATATGCTGCAAAAATCTGTAATCAATGACATATTGACAAGGTTTTGGTTTTTACTGCAGTTAATTTGTAAATTTAAGCAAAATATGATTCCACAATATTTACAATTGACCATAATTTTGTACAATATGAGCAATTTTTCATGTGAAATTGGTGAGTAAAAATAAAAGGTGGCAAAAAATTAAACGGGCAAATAGGAGTACAATAATATTTAATTTTATTTATTTGGAAGGAAAAGGAGTACAATAATATGTGGACATACTATCAGCTGTCTTGTCAAAGGTAGGACTATATGATTGGTAAAGTTGGGTGTAAGTAAGATTGTAAGAAAGAATAGCCTTTAGCAATTAGCATGCAGTTACACCAATAAAATGTCATCTTCTCTGTCATCGTTGCACCCATCTAACCTTGCTTCCTTTCTTGCCAACTAGTTCATCACTAGCTAGCCATTTTGGTGGGGGATATCTCTTTTTTTATTTTTTATTTTATTTTTTTATTTTTTTTTGGGGGGGGGGGGGTGTTAGGGGTAAGAATAAATCTTAGATTATTGATTTGTGACAATATAGTGGCGAATTCATTTGATCAGGTTCTTGGCCCGCTTAGCTTACATTTACAATAATTGTAAAAAAAATGGACTGATTTAGAGTTTGTTCACATTTACTAAATTGATTGGAGCTGACTTGAACCGAATAAAACTGAATAGAGCTGAAATGAATATTTTATGAGAGAAGAAAATTAGGAGCTAAACTGAACTGAAATTAGGTTATTTTAGATTTTAACACCTGCTAAAAACCCGAAAATGGTTTTTAACACCTCCAAAAAAAAAAAATTGATTTTAACACCACCCAAATTTCAAAAAATTGGGTATTACCACCACGTAACTGATTTCGTTTACAAATCCGTTAAGTAGGGCCATATAGACACGTGTCGCTTTGTTATTGGCCAAAAAAATAAGAAAATAATAAAAAATTAAAAAATTAAAAAAAATTTAAAAAAAATTAAAAAAACCTAAAACTACCCCAGCCCCACCCACCGCGCCACCACCGGCGTCCCCAAACCCACCCCCTGCCGGCATCCGGCGTCCCAGAGAATCGCCCGGCGCCGGCGACCCCACTCCCACCACCCTTTCCTCCACCTACGCACCCCACCTCTTCCCTTTCCCCATTTTCATTTCTCGACCCACCACCCCGAAACCACCCTAAACGCCCCCTCCCCCGGAAAACGCCCCTCCTCCCCTTCCTCCTCCCCCGGAAACGCCCTCCTTCTCCTTTCCCCCTCCCTTAATCGATTCCCTACCACCCCAAACGAAACCCTAAAACCCGTTTAGGGTGGTTTCGAAGTTGTGGGTCGAGAACGAAAATGGGGAAAGGGAAGGGGTGGGGTGCATAGGTGGAGGAAAGGGTGGTGGGGGTGGGGTCACCGGCGCCGGGCGATTCACTGGGACGCCGGACGCCGGAAGGGGGTGGGTTTGGGGACGCCGGTGGTGGCGCGGTAGGTGGGGCTGGGGTAGTTTTAGGTTTTTATTTTTTTTTAAACAAATAAAAATAGTGACACGTGAACGGAATTTTTTAACGGAAACCGTTAAGTGGTGGTAATACCAATTTTTTGAAAATTTGTATGGTGTTAATACCCATTTTTTTGGAGGTGTTAAAAACCATTTTCGTGTTTTTAGCAGGTGTTAAAATCTAAAAAAACCCTCAAATTAAGCTGAAGTGAACAGACCCTTACTAAGAGGTGTTATATATTCTCTTTTATGAAGAATTTGTAATTAGTAAGACGTGTTTTATTTATTTATTTTTTTCTAGGTGAACTCACTTTGCCTTCATAAAACACATTGTATATATAGAAACAAGTGGAGAAGTACTCTTGTTACATCGTTAACTTTACAATTTACAGCTTTCTACCCCAAGACACCAATATTGCTTTCAACATTTTTGTGACATGTTTTGAAAGAGATTTACAAATCTTGCATGATTTCCTTTTTTTCCAAAGACCTAATGAATAGACAATAGTAATAGTAAAAGCAAAAAGTGATTCAATTAGCCCTAAAATTAAAACAAAATAAAATGAAGAAGTCTTGTAGATGAAGAGCCCATATAAGTTTAAATATTACTGTTTGGGTCCAATTAAGTCAATTGGGCCTAGTCATTAAGTGATCCAATATTTCAAGGTCAAGGCCCAAGCCTCCAATTAAGCCAAGTCAGCATAAGTCAAATGGTCCAAATTGTTATGGTCAGCCCGTGACTATTTGCGGCCCAATTATCTTTCTTTCCTTGTATGCAAAGGTATAAAAGCCTTCAATTACATCATTTGTCATTCATTCACATTAAAGCCTCAAGCATTAAATCTCTTGCATATATAGCTTTCTCTCTCTAAACACTGTTTGACTTCGGCATCGGAGGGGTCTTCCTCGGATCCACCCCCGAGGCCAGTTTACTTGTATTTGCTGTGCAGGAAACCTTCGGCCCAGCATCATTTGGACCGGATTAGTCTTTATCCACTTCATTGGACCTTCGGCAAGGTCCCATTGTTTTCACCCGAAACAATTACAAAGTATATAAATTTCACTAAGAGCATACACAATGGTTGCCCAACCCCATCTTGGTTATTGATTATTTTATTATTTTATCCATCTTCCACCTCACTTATAACCACTCTTATAACCATTTAATAACCAATGTATGCCAATAGTTAACCATAATATTTTGGTTATACATTTTCTCTCTCCTACTTTTACCCAACCCCACCACACAATTTATTACTTAAATTCTATTATCATTAAATAATGCATTTGGTAATAATCATTCAAAATTAATAATTATTTATTAGCATACATTAATTAGATAAAATCTCAAAAATTTAAAAATAATGCAATTTTGATATTAATTAGTATGTAATTAGTCGTTAATTAAGACACAAACAATAATTGTAACCCTACTACATTCCACAATAATAAAAATCATACATATATATTCTATCAAATGACAAAAGTCTTTGAAAGATAATAACGAACCGCGAACAAGTACAAACACAATGATATAATATTGCGATTACACATCTATTAATGCATATTATTGTCCCTACTTTGAACACCGAATTTGAGCCACATATGTTCAACTAAGTCTTTCTTCAATGCTTTATGCATAGCTTCATCACGAACACGTGCTCTATTAGACATGTAAGTTTCCAAACTTGCAATTCGGTTGTTGCTATTTTGGAACTGAAAAGGCTCTTCATTATTTTCATTACTTGAAGACGCATTTGTAGCTTGATCATATTCATTTGGATCGTAATACGTTTTATATGTATCTCTTTCATCCTCAACAATCATATTGTGCATAATAATACACGCTATCATTATTTTTCCTAACATTGATGCGTCACGAGCTAGCGCTGGATTCCGTATTATTGCAAAACGAGCTTGTAATACTCCAAAAGCACGCTCAACGTCCTTTCGTTTAGCTTCTTGTACTTTGGCAAATAGACCTTCTTTTTCATTTTGTGGTAGTGATATTGTAGGAATGAATGCCGCCCATTTAGGATATATACCATCAGTGAGATAATATCCCATATTGTATGTGCGACCATTCACAACATAGTTAATAGAGGGTGCACAACCTTCAAAAACATCATTAAACAATGGGGATCTATCAAGAACATTAATATCATTACGACTACCTGGTGTCCCAAAAAAGGCATGCCAGATCCAAAGATCATATGATCCAAAGAGCAAGGTGCCAAACATGCCAAGTGATGCATGCTACTATTTCCTTTTCAGTGTTAAGTACATCAGTGAACAAAATTCACTATTACCTTTTCAGTGTTAAGTACATCAATGTCTAGTATTTAATATTTGCTTTTCAGTGTTGGGTACATCAAATACTTTACAGTGTAATGTAAATCAATGTACATCTTTTGCAGTGATATATCAAAGTGAATCAATAGGTTTAGTCAGATCAATAATAATTATATGTTATTATATAAAAACTTTAATGTATTGAATAATATTATTAAGCTTATAATACGATTATAAGAAGAGACATGTAATTTAACTTAATAACTCCATAAGTATTCAAACTACAAATCAGACCTTAAGTACATAAAAAAGAACAATAAAAAAGGAATTATTTGAAATCAACCAACATTACGACAATAATCAACCATACACTAATACATTAGTCTGAGGGGAACAACTTCTTCAACAAAGTGCTCCTTAATTCTTGATCTTCCGAAGATAAGTTTGGCTTTGAATCGAGGTGTTTAAATAACTCCATATTAATTTTTCTTTGCTTCCTTGCTTCTTTCTCCCTTTCTAGTTGCAACCTTGTAAGTTCAACTTCATTTTCTGATTGCCTTAGAAGGTTCATGTTCTGGGCAGTGTCCAACCATTGTTGCCATGCTCCACTTGGCATGTTTGGCACCTTGCTCTTTCCTTTATTTTTACTAGATTCGTTGCTAGAAGGAAAGCCTGAATACCCAATATCACCACTGGTTGGTGTTTCTGGGTTTGATGAAGAGGAGTAGTTTCCAGCTTCATTGATACGAGATCTCTTTGAGTCACTTCCTTGAGTGGATGTCTTTTCCTTGCATTTTTTAACAACATCTTCACTTGGTTTCCATGCTTCATGTTGTTTTAAGATGTCCCAAACATGCTTGTCTTGAAAGGTTTTAGAGCATAATGAAGACTTTGTTTTGTCGTTAGCATATATACTATATGCTAATTTCATAACATCTTCATCATTCATACCACTTCCCTTTTTTGATTCAGCATGAGCATGTGAGCCACAAAATTTAGAACATGAAGCATTAATCCTTCTCCAACGGTTTCTAAGTTGCTCCGTACCCCTCATTTTCAACAAATCTTCTCGTGTTAACCGATCAGTACCTTCTTCGAAACACCTTTGTTTGTATAGTCTAACATTATTATACATTTCTTCAATTTTCCTCCAAAAAACATCCCCCTTTTGGTTAGTGTTAGTTTTTTTATTTTGACTAACCTCAAGCCAAGCCTTCACAAGAACCACTTCTTCAGCTTTTGACCAAAAAATTTTCCTTCCATCTTGATTGCCTCCTTCATTACCTCTTTCATTACCTTCGCCTTCTTCAACTTCTGGTTCATTTTCGTCATCTGATGCATTCGATGTGTATGAACAATCGAAACTCGAAAATGCACCATCACCTTGTGACATAGAAAAATGTTGAGACATGGGAAATGTTGAATCAATTTGAGAGATTTGAATATTTTCAAAAGATGGGATAACATTTGGAGAATTTGAATAATTAGGATTTTGTGGTGGTTGAAAAGGAAACGGAGTGAAAGTACTTGGATTTGAGAAATTGAGATTTTGTGAACCGTAATTCGGAAAATTTTGAAAATTTGTATCTAAATCTGAGTTGAGATCAATTGGAAGATTAGAATAGTAAGGTTGAGGATTTGGATTATTTTGGGGCTGTGATGAGTTATGAGATTTTGTGGATTTTTTTTTTCTGTTAGATTTTGGAATGTTCATCTTAACACAATTTGCCAATAAGAAGAGTAATTTTCACTTAAAAAAAGTTGTTTCAAAATACTTCAATATTGGGCTCATTTTATAGAGAAAAATAAAATAGAGCCGTTGGTGTATTTTTTTTTTTTTCAGAATTGTATTTTAAAAATTATGGCCGTTACAAAAATTACAACGGTTATAAATTCAAAGCAAATCTCAACCATTGATATTTGTATTACGTGTCAAAATCTTAGCCATCCATGTCAACCAAAAAGCAAAAAAAAAATTGCATGACCAAGCTATGATAACCGGTTATTGAAATAACCAGGTTATTAATATTTTCCACCAAAATTTTCTCTCTCCTCATTATTTTATTATTTTCTCACAATCTCTCTCCTAATAACCACCCCAAGTGGTTATTTGCTGTGTCTACTCTAAGCAATAGATAATCAGGTCGAACTTCTAACTTTGAGGATTTTCACTAGAAAGTTAAATAATTTTTTAAAAAAGATGACAATGTATGTTATTTTAATGAATAGTTTAGTTAAAATTGGATATTGAATGTTGGTTTGTCCTACACTTTGAAAATAACTTCTCATACTTTAGAAAAGGACACTAGTGGAAAGTCTCAAAACATAGAAACTCTCATCGACTTGAAAATGACTTCCCATTATCCCTTACTCGAACACTTGAGAATTGATATCTATCGTCAAGGACAACATGGGATTGTTTATCTTCATGCGGAGTAGTAGTAGACATCCACCGGCACCGTTAGCTAATGATACTCGAACTTATACGCACCTTCGAGGGAAATATTTATATATATTTTTAATGTAAACTCTCGATGAGGGGATGTATAAGGGGATTCATCAAATATACTTTAGGGGATATGAGGTGTGGAGCGATATCACTGCACCAACACCTAATAAACCTCTAGAAATTTCATCTGATGATTAGGATATTCCGATGATTGTATATTTAAAATAATGTTATCATGTTGACATAAATAAATACATGTTGTCTTGTTATTATAAACATCAAACGATACATAACTTCATTATTAATTCATTAATAACATTATTTTACAAAATAGGTTGATTTACCAAAGCATTAGAGTATACAAGAATTTGTCTTGATTTTTAGTAATTACATGTGGATAAAAATATACCTAAAAAAGAAATCGACTACTTAAAAGCTAATTTACCGTTGGATATTAGTTTAAGGATGCTTTAGCTTTGATGCTAGCTAGATCTTTGCACTGTTGCTTAATCTCTCTAGATTTAATTGCATTCTTTGCTAAAGACGAGGCATTGTATTGTAAGATTTAAAGAGTTATGACTTAGATTATGGTAATAACAATAATTATAATTGTTGCTCTAAGAGTTTACAAATTTGTGAACATCAAGGTATAGAAATCATTGACTTAACATAAAAATGTGCATGCATCGATATATAATAAGGTAAGCATATGTTGAAACCGCAAGCAACTTGATATATATAGGTCTAATAAATAAAAATGATTTTTTTTTTGAACGGCAATAAATAAAAATGATTAAATTACTAAGTACAGTAAATCTAGATAGAAGAGATAAACTAAATACGCACATCACAAAACAGTAGGAAATTGTTAGTATGAGCATGCAACCCAAGAAGATCTTGTTTAGGTTACTCTTTAATTAGGGCATTGATTTGGCAAGTTGGCCATGTTGCTTGGATGAATTAATGGCGTTGTATTTCAGCTATTCAGTTTTTGCCCACTAGTTATTTAGTTTCAAGAATCTAATTGTGTTTTTAATTGCATAATGTTTACATCCATGAAAATATTGCTAAATACTTTCTATCGTCATTAATATGATAATTAACTTGATCACTTGAATTCGGACATGTAGAGAATGTGTGGTGATAACCTTATAAGTTATAACAAATTATAAAACTAAGGTTATTTTAAGCGGATTGAGCATAAAGATCGGATTATTTAAAATAACCCAAATATGAAATTATTTTTAGTGAACGCCCTAAAGGTGGGATTATTCAGGACAATTTTTCCTAAAACTAAAAAAATATAGAAAATCGTTTCTCCTCCTCATCCAAAGAGAGTCAAGTTAGGTCTTCTCATCGTATTTCCACCTCTCACTTCTCTATATATGTGAGTTAAATTAAAATTGATCGATATCTTTCGGAGTGTTTATTATGCATGACTAATTATTTTCAAATATATAATGCAAACATGTGACAATTATAGTGGCTAGTTTATACTTGATAGTAATGTATCAAAAACACATACATGAAGTTGAACCTCATAATTGAAAACTTAACATAAAAGAGGAAACATTTCTTGTCCTAAATTTATTATCTAGTTGTAATGTAACTATTATTTATTTATTTATTATTATTATTATAATTATTTTTGACGAGCGCTGCATTGTACATATAAGACACACATCTGACTGTTAATATCTTTTATATCTTACGGAGTATGAGATAAAATTTTGATATATTGTGTAAAAGTTATACAATGAAGCAAATCTAACAATATATCAATCGAGATTTAGTCAAAACCCATGCAAACTATAGAATAATTCAAATAAAAACAACTTTTTTTTTTGGTTCAAAATAACAATTATGAAATTACGAATCCTGACACGTGTCTTATCGCATACATATATGCCCGCCGCCACGAGCTCTAGACACTAGAATAATTGGCATACATGCCCACGGCCACCGGCTCTAGCTACTACGAGTAGAATAATTGGTAGTATCAAAGAGAGTATGGCAAAAGTGACAAACCTATGGAATATGATCCCATATGCAAAGATCAATAGGTTGGTCCATATTATCAACATGATAGAAATAGTTGAATGTGTTTGGTTCGTTCAAATTGTAGCCATTAAAAAGGAAATTAAACCTTCCACGTGCCAAAGTGGTCTAAATCCTTTGCACCATTATTGGGGTTACCGAAATCCGGGAACTTTATTCGGGTAACGATTCACGGGTTGCCTAATCTTATGTCTTCCATTCCTTAATTTCATTTCCTTCCATGTGATTGAAATTATGAGTTCTCCCTTTCTCTATTATTTTTCCTTGCATCAACATATTCAACAAACAAACGTATTGTGCTACTCATGAGTTCATGTTATCATGTTTATTGTCCTAATCGTACCATTCTTTGTGCATTAATTAAAGTATAAAATAGTCCAACACTCATTGGAATATGTGTTGATTGAGAAATCGGACTACTTCCTCTGTCCCTTAATTAAATTCCTACTAATAGCATTTATTCCTCACATATTAGAGAGAAGTAGGTATATAATTAAGGGACGGAGGGAGTAATGCTTAGTAATATGTATTACTCCCGGGCTCCACTTGAAAAATTAAAGAGGAGAGAGTGAGGGACATAGACTTAATCTTATGTTGTATGGCTAATAATGGTAGTCATAATCAAGTTTGAGCTAAGAATTCTGGCTAAGAAGTGTAGTCTTTTCTAGATTACTTTAATATTACAAGCCATGCATTGTCAATTTCAGTACATAGTGAGTGGATTCACACGAGTTTTGATCACTACAAGAAAGCAAGCTAATAAAGTAAGGAGTATAGTTTACAAATGAAATGTTTATTAAGGGTTGTTTTTGGTAATATCATATTATACCTTTAAATTATGAACTTAGTTCAGTTAAAAAACTATTTAAATAGAGTAATTTATTTTACTTGCAAAATTCACAAATATCAAAAGTCTTTTTGTTAAAATTATTTAATAACCTTAATTGTAGTGTAAGGACGTCAGGAGGTGAATTTCAGACCCAATATGCTCAAGACTACTTATTCTTCAGAACATAGCACCTCTAGGGCTCTAGTTATAAACAAACTACTTTTTAAAAGATCAATATATCCTCACCCGGTTAAAAATAATTTTTTTTTTTTTTTTTAATTTTTTTATAAACAAGATAAAAAAAAAAAAACTAGACCATCATTCAACTTTCCACCCATTGAACCAAGATGGCAGATGACTACATTAGAATTCAAATTAAGATGCCAATTATAAGCAAAACAAGCAAATTTGAGCAATCATCCTCGAAAGAAAACCTTCTAAAATTCCCAAAAATACACAAACTTCACTTAAAACTAGGGAATGTGCAAAAACTTTTCGTATACAATCCAATCTCACCAAATATAGGCATGATGAGTTCATAGATGAACCAAAAATTGTTGAGATTATCAAGTTATCTTGATGAATCTACTACCCATGTTTCCTTCCTCTGACTCACAAGACATAAATCACCTTATTCTCAACGAATCGTAAAATTTTGCGGTAAGATAAAGTTTTGTCCACATTTATATATGCTTCATGCAATCATGCATAACCGTTAACCCTGAACAAGACACAAATACATACACTATATACGACATTTGGGGTTTTCATCTTCTTCAATAGGACAAAACCTTCATTTTCCCATCACTTTTTGCTCCCCTCCACCGTAAATTTTTATATTTTACTGTCGACTACTTCAATTTTTATTAAGTTTAACCCATTTCTGTTTTTATTTTTTAATTTTATTTTTATTCACTTTTACTGTATTTTATTTTAGGAAATTCTCAATGGTAATCTTAAGGTTTCTATTTTTCTCAATGGTAAACACTAAAAAAACAAATTATCAATGGTAATCTTTAATTAATAAAACTATTCAGTGGTAACATTAGTTAAACATTTTAAGGAAATTTTAACCAAGGTTAATGCTTTAAAAGAAAATTGCCTAAAATACCCTTATTGAAAAAAATACAACACCCACTTCTTCCCCGCCACCCCCTGCCCAGCCCCACCCCTTATCCCGACCGGCGCCAGCCGCGACCACCTAGATCCCCTCCCCGGCGCCGGGCTGAACCCCCCTTGCCGTTGCAACCCCTAAACCACCCAATCCCCCTTCTTCACCACCGCCATTTTCAAAACCGTCCTTCCACCTCCTCAACCCCACCTGCATTCACTGAAAACCCCAGAAATACTAAGTTAAAACCCCTCATATTCGATTCAACCCCATTTTCGAACAAAAATCGATGAAAATCCCCTAAAATACCTTGAATCGAGCAAAAAACGACTTAAAATTCAAATCAAAGCTGATGGAATTTAGTCAGTGCATGGTTGATGGAAATTGCTTCAAGATTTTCATTGCAGGTTGTCTAACCCTAAGTCGAGATCGACGAGGTTTTTGGGGATTTGTTGGTGGTGTAGTTTGATTTGGGTGAGTTGGAAATCGAGGGTAGAGGGAATCGGGGGAAGGAGATGGTGGCTAGCTGGGAATCGAGTGAGGAAAGGTCAATCGGGAAAGGAGATGGTGGTTGGTTGGGAATCAAAGGAGGAGCGGGAATCAGGGAAGGAGATGGTGATTGGGCTGGGAATCAAGGGAGGAGAGGGAATCAGGGAAGGAGAGGCTCACTGCGCCGGCGCTAGGAGATGGGAGGGAGGGGGGTCGCCGCCCGTGGCCGCCGCTGGCAGGGGAGGGGGCTGGCAGTGGATTGTGGTTGGGGTGGCAAGGGTTTTTTTAATTTTTTTTATTTAATTAATTGGGTTATATTAGTCATTTTGCCTTAAGCTAACTACGGTTAGACTAATAATTATGAATTAATGTCATTAATGTTACCACTGACTGAGTTTTACTAATAGAAGATTACCATTGATAATTTGTTTTTTTAGTGTTTACCATTGAGAAAAATAAAAACCTTAAGATTACCATTGAGAATTTCCCTTTTATTTTTATTTGTATATAACCATCTATCACCCTAGCTAATTTATGATTCCTTATCATATTTAGTTTTCAGATGTCTTTCTTTAACTTGCAACTCAATCTAATACAAGATCACACACATAAAATATTAAATAGGCGTTGTTCTTTTGAGTTGTCTGCTTTGTTAACATATGCTCGATTTATTCAGCTGAGTGCTGCTATATATGCTCTGTTTTGCCGAACCCTATCCTATTCAGCTTAGTATTAATGATTAATTACTTATAATTTAAATCGAAGGTAATAGTAAAATAAAGTTAAAGAGACACGAAGATTAGAGGTAAAAAAGACGCTGATTGTTGCAAATAATTTAAAACGAATAGAAAAGTTAAAAAAAATGATAACATTGAGATTAGAGGGTAAAAATAGAAGGGGGGTAAAAAAAGGGTCAAACTTTTCGCAACTCAAGGAAGTTGGACTCTGACACGTTCACTATTCAATAGAGCATCACCCACGGAAAAAGCCCAATTCCTCAATCTCATCTTCCCAAACTACCCCTCCGTTTTTATTCTCTCTACTCCACATAACAAAGGGTATTTTAGGGATTCTCTCTCAAAGGTTCACCTCGTAAGACCCTTTAAAAGACCCGAAAAGCGGGAGTTAACGATAAAGCCGTGAAATTCTCATAACCCAAAATCACACACTTAAAAACTCAGTGAACCAGAGAGAGAGAGTGAGAGACTGTATTCATTTTTCTAGAGAGAGAATGTAAAGAAGAAGAAGAAACTCAGAAATTTCAATGGTGGTTTTCTGATTTCTGGAGATTGAAGGAGGTTTTAGAGAGAGAAGGAGAGAGTTTAGGTGTTTTTAGAGAGAGAAAATGACGACAACAGGGATAACAATCCATGACCAGAACTTAGAGAAGCAAATCGAGAAGCATATGGGAGGTTGTATGGCTGGTTTCTTCAACCTCTTTGATCGTAATCATCTTCTTTCTGGAAAACGCCTTTATCCTAAACGTCTTCCTCCTTCTATCTCTTCTACGGTAATCATTTGATTTGATTTGATGATTTTCTTCATTAGTTTTGATTTGTAAATTGATTGATGGATTAATTGATAGAGTTTTTTTTTGGTGTAATTTGATGAATTAGGCTGGTGATTCTGCATCAGAATCAATCTCAATCGTTGGATCTCCTCCGCCATTATCGACGGAGTCTGAGAAGCCGAAGCAGAAACCTCAACCAGACGTTAAATTACCAGCACCGGAAAGTGTACCGGCGACGCCAAACTCCACGACGGAGTCGGTAAAATCATCGCCATGGAAGTTCAACCGAGAAGCTCCGAGGCTCTCGCTTGACAGTCGAGCAATTACCGACGCCAAAGGCGGACTTCGACCGCGAGAGATTCGAATCAACACTGTCTCCACTTCCGCTTCCGCCGCCGATGATTCGAGAGAGAATCAGCGTCAGTCTCCGAGCGTTATTGCTCGGCTAATGGGGCTCGAACAACTTCCGAGCTCCTCCGGTGAACCGCCGGAGAAGAAGGTCGAACTTCGTAGATCAGCTTCTGAGTCTAGATCGAGAGATTATCGGTTTTTTGATACTCCGAGCTTTCTCTCTCCTGTAACAACCAATAACGAAGTTATAGGAGAGAGAAAATCGGATCAAAAACCTGGTATCACTCGAAACCAGAACAACAATGGCGGAAAAATTAACAATATTCAGAAAGTAAAAAATCATAATGTTAATAATTTTAATAATAATAATAACAATAATCAGAGGAGATTAATGGTGGAAAGGAGGAGTTATTATGATACGGCGGATTTTTTTCCGCCGGAACTTCCGGTAAAGCAACAACAGCATCAGCAACATCAAGCGGCGGTGTCGATTTACGGCGAAATCGGACGGCGGATGAGAATGAGAGGAACCGATGAGCCATTGAAGGATCTAGAAACTCTTAAGCACATTCTAGAAGCTCTCCAGCTCAAAGGCCTTCTACATTCATCAACTGCTACAACAACTAATTCTCGCAACAACCGGAGATTCTCATCGGAGGAAGAATCTCCGGTTGTTTTAATGAGACCGGCGAGGTCTCCAGTGAATAATCGCCGGAGGAATGTGAATAATGCGAATAATGCTTCCTCCGGCGAGAGTCCGAGGAGAGAGAGACCGGCGAGAAGTCCGATGAGGTCGCCGGGGAGAAATGAGAACCGAAGTTCGAGTCCTTCGGTTCGACGAAAAGGCGGTCCATTAAGCGTCGAAACGCAGAGGAGAACCAATGAAACCACGACGACAACGACAATGACAACATCAAGTAGCAGCAGAGTTTCGCATCATTCGCCTGTTCATTCACCGAAGATGACGCCTACAAGGCGGTCTGATCAGACGGTGAATCGGTCGCCTCGGAATCGGCGATCAACGGTCGAGAATTGTCAGGGAGATAGAATCCTCAGTGGTCCTGCATTTGCTGAGGATGAAACATCTACGACTATTTCCGAAAGTAGCTTTAGCACTGCTTCACATACCGACAATGAGGTAAATCTTGCTTAATTCTTCTTATTAGTTTCTTAATTATAATTCTAATACAAGTCTCTCACTAATCATGATTAATTGTTTTTAATTTTTTCAGCGATGGAGGGGAGAAGAGTATAGAGATGGACGGAATTTACTTGAGAGGTGTGATAAGCTATTGCACAGCATAGCTGAGATTACTGCAAACTCGAACTCGAACTCGAGCTCGGCGGAGTTACAGCAGCCGAGTCCGGTATCGGTGCTGGACTCATCATATTACAAAGAGGATGAGTCGTCACCGTCCCCTGTTAAAAAACGAACCATTGATTTCAAAGGTATACACACAACACTTTAAAACCGTTGTTACTAACTTCGCATTATGTTTTTGACTTTTGATGATGACGTTTCGTAGCTGTTTTTACATGTTTTATTCACACTATTTGTCTTCTTAACAAACACAACTCATGATTTTTGTTACGTAAGATTGGGGGGTTTTTTGATGAATTCTGTAAGGAAATCTTTGTTATATCATTTCAAGTAGTACTAGTGTACTACTCACTTGTCAATGTAACGATCACGCTTACTTACACTGAATCTGTGATGAACATGTTATGAAAATCCAATATAAATCGTACTTTTACGGCCCTACAACTGTAATCTGCCTCCTTTTATAATTATTATCAAGAAATTACCGTCTTGATACTCCGTATGATTAAATTTTTAGTATTTTGACTGATTCTAATTAACGAATGTAGTGATTGTAACGTAATCGTTAAGAAATAAAAGATTACAATCAATCAAGAGAAAGGAATGAACATGTTAGAGGTTGGATTATAAATGCACATGCAAGTTTTAGATAAATTCTCCTAATTGATATCAATTGTGGTCTAATAGTTAATGCTTGCAAGTAAGATTACTGTATTTCTCTTGGGATAAGAGGTGATTATGTTCGGTTAATCAATTGATATTGTGACACGTATCACATGAACGATCAATTAGAAACAACGGCTATGTTATGTTATACGATTAGTACTCCGTATAGGGTATAAAGTAGAAGTATAAATTCCTTGGTCACATACCTTAAAGTCACAATAAAAGCTTGGTCAATTGGGTTAGCATTGATATTGATGTTATCCTCGTATTAGTCAGTAGTCAATGATTATTAATTAAGGTAAAATGAATAAGAGTTAGTACTAGAGAATGCAGTTTTAATTAAGTTAGAATGAAATGCTGACCTTAAGAAAGAGGGTTGGGGTATTCATTGGTCAAGATGCTAAAAAATACAGACTGGCAATTAAGGGAGCCAATTCAATCTGATAAATAGAGCCAATCAGGGTAAAGAAGAGGTTTGATGTTAGCTCAGATTAGTGGCCAGTGGGGTTGTTTCTGGGTTAAATTAAAGTAGCAGGGGAGCCTTAAACCCACACATGATCACCTGATCCCATCACGTGGGTTGCTCTCTTTCTCTCTCCTCTCTCTTTTTTTTTTCCAATTTTTTTAGTTTTATTTTTTTAATTTATGAAAACAAAAGGTATATACTCTACTGTACGAGTATTAGATTTAGATATAAATCATACTTTACTTTATAATTACTCATTCATTAATTTTAACTGTATGCCTTCTTTGATGGTAGTGCGTTACTGTTATGAATTTATGATTGTACTTCCAATCCACCCTTTTAGCTTTGTTTGTAACTTCTATAGCATCATACAACTATACGGAGTACAAGTTTTTATTTTTAATTTTATGGGGGTGATTCAGAGTGAGGCCACAATGATAAATAAAAAACGAACACAAACCTTATTATGGTTGGGAAGTCGATACTTAAGGAATGGCGAATTATTTAGGGTGATAAATGGAAATTTTATCTGAAAAGAATGAATACAAACATACAGTATTAATAGTTGTGTTGTCATGTGTTTTTCAATTAATTGTATCCTTGATTATTTACACAATGACACTAACATCAGTACAGTAGGAATAAAGTGTAGTACTACTACAATAGTAGGGGTACCAAAGACTAAGCCTTTGCATTATCTTCGTTAGCTAGATTTGGTAAACATGTGTAGGATACAGATTAGACCTCCATTGAAATGGTAATAAATGAGATTAATTTACAAAGATGAATGATCTGTGTAAAGTGGTTGAGGATCTTTAATATTTTGATGAAGATTTTCTGCTCAAATTTCTTCCAACTGACATGATAACTGTCGCATTCAATTCCTCAAGCCTCATGTTTATGAAAAATCCTATTTATGGTCCTTTTTTATACTGTGTCTATTATTTGTGTTTTAATCAAAGTTGTATGAATTTCTTTTGGAGTACTTTGGACTGAATCCCTGACTTAATAATAATTATCTCTTCATTTCTGATTACCAGATCAAGTAGTTATGGAATTGGAAGATGAACTATTGTGGAGCCCATCTTCTATAATCCAATTATCTAAGCTTGATCATGACATTGATTCATCAGACTACTCAGAATTCAGCTATGTTTCAGAGGTACTCAGAGCATCAAATTACCTACCAGACGACAACACTAACGTATTTCTGTTACTAGAGAAGCAAAGTTCGATTAGAGGCAATAAAGACAAGTCCAAGGCTTCTATTCTTCAAAGGAAGCTCATTTTCGATACCATCACGGAAATCCTCGATCGAAACAGACAACTCCCTCCTTGGAAATTGATTTCAATCTCAAATTCAGCCTACGGGAGATCAGCATTGGAGCAAATTTGGTCGGAATTCCAAAAAATACGCGAGCAAGGTCCATCAGAGGATCTCTTCGAGGTCATATGTGGGGTGCTAAAGAAGGATTTAGCTGAGGACTCAGTAAACGGATGGGCTGATAGTCCGGTGGAGATGTCTGAGGCGGTGCTTGACATCGAACGGATGATATTCAAGGATCTAATCGGCGAAACCATCCGAGATCTCGCTACCTTTGCTGGTAAAAGTATGGAACTACAAGCACCTTGTAGGAAGTTAGTTTTCTAAAAGCGCGGGAAAAGAGACAAAATTAGAAAATTTGCAAAGAGTGGAGATAGAGAGCAGCTTTTGGCGCGCTTTTTCTGTTTAGCGTTTTTATAATTTTTATTATTTTTAATATCCACCATCAAAAGGGCCCCCTCCACTTATTGGTTAGTTTATTATTATTAGGAGTAAATTTTAATTTTAATTTTTTAACTTAATTTCTAAGGTTTCATCAACCATGGTTTTTTGTGGTAATATTATGGAATTGTGGACTTAGATTTGAGAATGTAGGCTCAGCTGAAACCCAGGCAAATCTAACGGTCACTTTTTTCTTTTCTTTTTCTTTTTCAATTTTAGTTTTTCTTTTAGTGAAAAAGATGTAAAGTAATTAGGATATTCATAAGTAAAAATAATTATAAAGGAAGTGTCATGTGAAGAGCATGTGGGTGAGCTGAAAAGGGCAGAAGAAGGGTTATATGAAAAAAATAAAAAGAGAAAAAACAAGGGTGGGGTCCAATTAGGATTAATGTTTTGTGATTAATAATTAAAAAAGGGGGAAATCCATGTGTTTTTTGTCTCTAAGTAAGAAAGATTTGTAATGATGAGTAGTAGTTGTATTTTTAATTTGTAATTTGTGTTAGTGTTGGTTGTGATAAAAGATTATGGAAATGACAGAGTGAGGTTGAAGATTATATCCCCTGCTCATGGCGATGCACGATACTTGCTGTGGATTTATTAGAAAGGCATGGCCCCTTTTATTTTTATAGCCCTGTCCTTGCTCGTGCGCTCAACTCTGAATCCCCCCATTTTCGTTTGTTCTACCTTCTTAACCTCCTTCAATGATCATTATTACTTAACACGTTCTCTCCAAACCTAAATTACTTTCAAGGCCTGGTTACGTTTGTCAGTATACTACCTTGCTTTAAGTTAGATGACATATTTTGACTTTAAATAATCAATATATTACCTCGTCTACCAAACTAAGCTTGGTCTAGTATAGTAGTAAGGGTTGCACTTTCCAACATTGAGATTGAGGGTTCAGTCCCTACTAGACACTTTGAAAGTAGAGATCGAGTGAATTCATCATCTTAATTGATCATTCACTTACACCCGCATATTAAAAGTAGAACTCAATTGCACTCATGTTTCATCTAAGGTCTATAATTTTTCTAATGAAAATAGTAAAAACTAAATAAAATAAGGAGCTATGCATGAAGGTTTATATGTATTGTATTTATTTAAGAATCAAATTACATATGGTGTTTAAAATTACCATCTTATTTATATATGATAGTAAAGATAATTGTGCATCCCATTAAATACACAAAACAAGTAGTAGCCTACCAAAATAAAGTCAATGATTATTAAATACAAATCTTTAGCCACAATGATAGACACATAAATCATGAATTAAGACAAACATTATTGTATCCTTCAAATGATTATCATGAAACATAGGAGAAATAAAGAACTAATGTACACAAATGATTTAATTTGTTACACCTCAACATCATATATAGCTTTCATCCACTATAACTAAATGCAATAATTTTCAAATTCAAACCAAACTAAATACTTAAATATATATATATATATATATATATATATATATATATATATATATATATATATATATATATATATATATATATATATATATATATATATATATATATATATATATATATATATATTGTTTCGGATGAAAACAATGGGACCTTGCCGAAGGTCCAATGAGGTGGATGAAGACTTGTCCGGTCCAAGAGACGCTGGGCCGAAGGTTTCCTGCATAGCAAAACACACGTAAACTGGCCTCGGGGGTGGATCCGAGGAAGACCCCTCCGATGCCGAAGTCAAACAGTGTATTTAGAGAGGAAGCTATGCAAAAGATTTAATGCTTAAGCCTTTTGTGTATATCCATAAATGAATGAATTGAAGACTTTTATACCTTTGCATATGAGGAGAGGAGAGTAATTGGGCCCTTAAATAATCATGGGCTGACTTGGCTTGATTGGAGGATTGGGCCTTGACCTTGGAACATTGAATCATTTATTGACTAGGCCCAATTAGATAAATTGGACCCAAACAACTTGCCCCCCAGACCCGATTTGGAAGTATGACGGGTCGGGTTTGAATCCAATAAAAATGGAGGGAAGTAAATGATTTAATTAAATCAAAAGATTTAAATTTTTGAACAGTCATTAATTAAATAACTGTAATTTGGATGATTAATAGGAAGTGGAGTAGATAGTGGGCGGTTAATCAAGTGAGAAAGTGTTTAAAGGTTAATTAAGGAGGCATTTAAGAGAAATTTGAACTTTTCGACCTTTGGGATTCTCCTTCCTGGAATTGTAAGGTCTGATTCGCATTTTCGCCTCACTTCTTCGCCAACCTACACTCGAATTTTCGCATAAACTCACTTTCGCTTCGAATTTCTAGCGCAATATTCCCGAATCCGAGCTCGACACTCAAATTCGTCGCTCCCACTGACTTGACCGGCGCATTCCGGCTTATTTGAAGGTAAATTTCTTCGAGTTCTTTTGATTTTCTTGCCTTTTTTGAGAGAATCCCTCTTTTCTTCTTCGAATTTGGTTATGGCTCGAGGGAGAGGGCGTCAACCGGGTCGACGGGGCCAGGCTGGGGATCCCCGTGACCGCGCCGATATTTGGAACGGGGAAAGAGTCGGGGAAGACCCGGAGAGGGGAATTTCGGTCGTTCCTTTGAATGTCGCGCCGCCTCAGCAGGACGCTGGGGCCGGCGAGGCGGAGCAGCCTGAACAGAGAGAACGGGCTGGGCAGGCTGAAGATTTGCCCCCTGTGCTCTGGGACCTGCTCCCTGGGCATGCTCAATGGCAAGACGCCGAGGATCAGGACGCCATGGTGAGAAATACTCCTTACTCTTGGTGGGTTCGGCACGCCGAAACCTACCGGTTCACCGAGCAAATAGAGTTGCACTAAGGCATTTTCGAAGAGGATTGGTATTGGTGTCGAATGTCCTCGCCGACTGACAGGATTCACCGCCCCCTCCTGGATATATAGGGGTGTACACTCGGCAATTACAATATGGGCTTCGGTTCCCTTTGGATCCCTTTGTCAGGGATATTTTAATAAAGTACAGGATTTCCCTGTGCCAATTAACACCCGTTAGTATTCGGCGGGTGATGACTTATCTCTGGGTGTGCCGGTTTTTTGCCGTTGAGCCGAATTTGCACTGCTTCCAAAGGATGCATCAGCTAGTGCAGAACATCCAGAGCGTGTACGGCCAACATGGGTCTTCAGGCTGGTGGCGAATAGAGAGCCGCCCCCAATATCTGACTATGTGGCCGAACGATTCTTCGGATAAGGATTGGAGAGGTCAATGGGTCAGGGTGAGAGTTACCGCCGACCCGGAGCACCCTTATTTTTTTGGAGCTCCCCGATACCTCTCCAGGCCTGATCCGAACATGCAGGATCTGGGTCCTGAGGACCCTGATGCCGCTCGTCACCCCAGCTACGAGCAAATGAGCTTCTTCGGGAAGCAGAATAACCCTGGGGGAGTTGGCCGAATGAGATTTATCCATTACGTCTTCCAGGAGAAGATGTTGGCGGTTGTCGGCCTCAGCCGAAAGTACAGGGATGGTAAGTATGTTCGGCTGGGGCCGAGGACTTTGACTTGTTTAATTTTCTGCTTATTTTTTATGCTTATTCCCTCAGTCTAACCTTCGTCTGATCTTTTCAGAGCTGAGCGAGGCTACCTCGGGTATTGACTATAATCGGCTTGGGGTGAACGCCGAACGAGTCATTCTAGATCAGGCTCCGGCGATCACGGCTCCGAAGAACCGTCCGTTGCATCTGCACGAAACGGGCCTTCAGATCGAGGCTGCCGCCGATTACACCAAGCAGAAGCCTTGGTGGGACAAGCGAGATCCCCTCAGGCCTTTATTACTCGAGGAAGCACAGGCTGCTCAAACAGCCGAAGACGTGTCCCGAGCAATCGACTCCTTGGAAGGAGGTGTTGGGACATCTGGTGCCACTGAGAGGGATATCCCTGCACCTGGAGCTCAGCTGAGGGTTCCGGTGAGTTCCTGTTTTGCTCGTCGTTTTTTTTTTTTTTACTCACACTTTGCTGCCCCCCCTTTCTGCAGTCTGAGGAAGGGAGCGGAAGGAGAGAAGGGAAAGCGCCTTCTCGTTATGAGGATCCATCTTCGTCAGAATCTGAAGAAATGGACGAGCAGCCCTTAGCAAAGAGGAGGAGGAGGTTAGCCGGGGCCTCGTCAATTTCAGACGGGGGTGAGGCCTACCAGGGGCATCCACATAAGGGAGCCTGATGAAGGTAGACGCTCGCCGAGGGCTCCCCCTCCGCCGGAAGCTCCGTGTCCTCAAACCCCCCTCCACCTCCCGAAACTCAAGAGATGGAGGTGGACCAAAGAACTCCTGATCCGAAAAGGGGGTTTAGGGACGCCCTGCTGAAGACTCTGAGAAACCAATTGCTGAAGGTTTCTCAGATGATATTGATAGGGAGGTTGACGCTCTACTTCATCAACTTGATCTGGGTGAGGAAGTAGAGGAGATCGTTGCTGCTGACCCTGGTGGAGACCAGCTGGGCTCCGCCGAAGGGGAAGGTCATGCTGAGCCCGAGAAGGTTCAGGAGGTTCCGTCTTCTTCCTTCCCGTCCTTCCAGACGCTGAACTCTGGAGATTTGGGTTTCTCGGCCCCCCGCATCACAGTCCCAGAACCTGTTTGGGAACGAATTTGGGGCCAGAACCGTGAAGGGACTGCAGGTTACTTCGGCGACCTATCTGGTATGTCAGAGGTGGACTGAGCGAGGGTGTGGTCGCTGAAGGCCACGGCTGGAATGGGAGAGTCCAGCCGAAGGGTCCCTGACCCGGCAAAAGACAACCAGCATTTGTTGATGCAGGTACTTAACCGTTTAGTTATTTTATTTTGCTTTTATTCAGCTCTTCTCCTTCTCCTTTTTGGCTCTTTCTTTTCTCTTTTTCTTTTTCTCTTTTACTGATGTGCCCTTGTAAACAGGTTGTGCACAATCAGACTCTTACTGTAGAGCTGATTGACACCCTCCAAGACAAGCTGGAGCATGCCTGGGAGGATGGGAAGATTTCCTAGGAGGAGGCGAATCTGGCTGAGCTGAAACAGCAGGCTGCTGAAGAGAGGCAGGCAGCGGCCGAAAAATATGAGAAGCAGGCTGCTGAGGCCCTTCGGACCTTCTGCCACGCCATGGAAACTGAGGTTTTCCCTACTCTGATGGCCGGGGAAAGGGTCATCAACGAGCTGGGAGCATTTGACATCCCCAGTTTCAGGGCGGCTATCTCTCGCCGAATCGCTGCCGAGGCTGCTGGCCAAGTTCGGGAGATGGAGCAGAGGCTGGAGGGTCTGGAATCCAGCAGGATGGCTGCTGAAGAGGCTCAACAGGCCAGGGATGCTCACCTTTCTGCTGCCCAAGCTGTTGCTGAAAGCCAGGACCAGAAGCTGAAGGACTTGGAAGATCAACTGAAGGTTAAGGGAAATGAGCTGACCCAGGCCAAGGCCGAGACTTCCAACGTCCAGCTGGAGCTTAATGAGCAGAAGACTTCTTCCTCCAAACTCTCAAAGGAGTTAGAAAAATCTAAAAAGGATTTGGAGGAGAGTCGAAAGAGGTTGGCTGACGCTGAAGCCTTGCTCCAAGTCCGCCTCTATACCCAAGAAGAGTATGAAAT